CACACACACACACACACTCATACAGACACACACACACTCACACACACTCACACACACACTCACACAGACACTGCTATAAGTCTTATAGTATTAGACTGACTGCCATTTAGAAAGGTTTGGGATAATCAAGCAGTTGTGGATTTGAGTGGTTGTAATTGTGTCCGTGTGTGTGTGTGTCCGTGTGTTTGCACGTGCACATATTAAGTCAATGTGCTCCTTGATCCACATTGTGGTAACGTCACTCTCCGGTCTTTCCTCCCGCTTTTGCCCTTTAAGTACCACAAATAGAGTCACAACTTCCTCTGGCTAATCCTCCTGGAATCCTAGACAACACAGATCACACACACACACACACACACCACACACCCCTCCTTCTCATCTTCCATCTGTTGCTTCTTCCGCTTCTGATGGTCAGAGATCAATTATGAGTTCATATCCTGCATTTGGGGTGACATCACTGAATTACCTGAATCACTGAAGGGGCGTCGGTACGTAATCTGGCCCCCTGTGAGGATCTGGATAAGTACTTTGTTTCTACTACTGCATTAATATGAACAAAAACACATAAGAACACGTGCTTGGTGATAATATTATTATCATTATTCAATATTATCATACATGTTTCAACTGTGTTGTATGATAATTACATAATTGTATTGAAATTCTGCAAAATTACCAATGTCTTGAAAATCATGATTAAGTCAAGGCACACATCAATTTAATTATTTTACATGCAATGAATATACAATGATGAACTACAATTTTGTGTTGTACACTTATAAGTGACTAACAATTTCTGTGTATCATACTTGATGTTAAGTTTCTGCATGTGTCGAAATATGTTTTTGTTTGTTAAAAGTGAAAATGAATGAGTCTGAGACTGTTGTGATTCAGACTGTCTCGAATGTGGGCCAACAGGAGAAGCCCTGCAGCGGTGGGACTTTAAAAGGAAAGCCACAACACCATCATGATGTTAAATGCTGTGTTGAGACATGTAGAGCCTTGTGCTCAGTGATCAATGTAGATCAGTAGATTAAAAATGCAATGTTAAACTGCTGCATGCATCATTAAATTGATAATAGGTCCCAGTGCCTTTGAATTTACTAATCTCACAAAACTACATCTGCGACCAAACAATGCTACTGTAAGAGTCACCGACATAAATCTTACACCCCTGGTCATGTGTTCGTTCACTCAGGGGTCAGTAGCGTGTCGACATATTTTAGCCACTGCCAAAGCAACCAAGAGAACCACAGGAATGATGACAAACTATGTTTTGTGTTGTGAACAAAGAAGAAGCACAACACTGACAAACAGCGGTGAGAGCAGAGAGAAAGATAGACACGTGTTGAAGAGGACAATAAAACTCCAACCAGAAAAAAACTAAGATTCCCATTTGAAGAAGAGTGCAACATACATACAGTTGTTTCGTTGAAGGAGGAAATGTCGGGTAACTGTGATTTGCAAAGAAAAAGACAGGATTGCCTCCACACCTACAGATGCAAGAAGTAATTTATTTCTCGCCTCGTTAAGTTTAACTTAAGTTGCTAAAGATTTACACAAGAAGTACACACACATGTACACGGTAAACATCCTGTCGGACACTTTACCACACGCACGGAATTTCAGACGAGCAGAAAATGCAGTGACAGTCCAGCTGTCCTGTACGCACATTCACACAGACAGAGGAGATGACGCAACTTTTCATCAGATGTTTCCCATCATGCAGCTGTCAAAGGCAGCTGCAACTGGGCCCCCAAAAACACACACAAACACAGAGAGTCCAGGGCTCACACACACCCAATTACTCGCATCCGTAATAATGCCCATACCTCTGTGCACGGCATGAACACACAGCCTTCGATCACAAATCTATCAGTGGAATATGCTGATGGTGAGAGTGTGTATTGAATGTATATCAGTTTAGAATTGGTCTCTCAGATTGAGGCAGTGTTCATGTTTTTGGAAAAGAAGTGCAAAACTTTCTCCCGTTCCCCTCATTTCAGGCCTGCACATGTGGTCGCCACATTGAAAGGAAACACTAAACCTCTTGGGGAAAGCGTGCGTGTTTGTGTGTGTGTGTGTGTGTGTGTGTCTGCGGTGCTGGAGTAAAACCAAGTCTGTTTGTGATCTGACCTACATACAAAACAACTAGACTTGATGGATTTCCCAAAAATACACTGAAAAAAAACCACACATAAGGTTAGTTAATACAAAGACTTAAAAATGATCTTAAAAGTAAAGCACACACAAAGACACAAAGACAAACAAACACCCCGACAGACACACACAATCTTTGTATAACCAGAGCCCCCGTGGAGGCTGCTGTCTGATCTAGATTCTGAATGTACAATCTGTATTCATGCACATGTGTGTGTGTGCACGCATCTGTGCATGTGTGTCTGGGTCAGTTATGACGTTGTGCTGCCTGGAAGTTATGTAAGCATCAGCAGGGTAATGTTATCTGTCCTCGGAGCTCCAAGAGCAAGACACTCCCACGACAGCTTCCTCTACAGCCCGGCCAACACAGACACACATACAGACACCCACACAGACATATACACACACACACACAGACACACACACACACAGACACAGACACACACAGTGGAGAGAGCATGGGCTATTGTCATACCTAAGATATAAAACTGAAAGAAATCTTCATATATCGTTATGCCATCTGATACAGCCATTAAAAGCTGTGGGAGAAGAAAAAAAAAAAGAAAAAGAAAACGGAGGAAAGATAAAGAGAAGAAGAGAATGTGGAGCATGATGGGAAATGTAGTTTAAAAAACAACATGCAGGGGGAAGAGGAAGATTCTGCTGGAGCAGGAAATGTGGGAGACATCTTTAAAATAGCACAGTGTACTTTATACACACTTCCCAGATTGGTGTTAAACGTGATGCTAC